TCAGGATTTGGTGCACAAGTCTTCTCACTATTCAAATGCCAGAGGCGCTGGGGAACTTAAAGGAGCTGCAGTGCAATCAAGCAGCAGTGGTGCTGCGCACTGAGGGACTGTGAGTGAGGAGGCATGCAGTAACACCCTGTGCCATAGAGCTCTTTGTCAGAGCTGCTGGGAGGGCACCTGGGGCACACATCCAGCAGCAGGTGAGAGGAGCTGAGTACTATTTGGATTTTAGGTACAGCTCAGAGAGGTTTATGATGATCTCTGGTGGTCAGCTGGGTGGAGCAGCCTCTGCACAGGTCTGCAGTTCTGTGGTGCCATGCAGTAACCTGCCCACATTTCCTCCATTAGACATCCCGCCCCAGACAGATGATGATGATCCTCCACCCCTGCCAGAGCGAACTCCTGAGTCCTTTATTGTGGCCAGTGAATCAGGTAAGTGCATTTAGCAGTGCAGGGACTGACATCTGCTCTGAGGGCACTTCTCAGCTTCTGGGGGATCAGAGCAGTGCCTTTGCTCCGTCTGCCTGGGATAAGAAATGTCACCTTGTTTTGTCTCCAGCAGAACTTCCCCCGGCCACCTCAGATTTTCAGTTTCCACCCAGACACGAAAATACTGGAACCTCTTTGGAGCAGAATAGTGTGTCTCCCTCAGTGACGTTTAATGACTCAATGAGACTGAGACCAAGTAAGGTAAATAAGCGCAGTTTTATCTCTTCTCCAGCACCGTCACTGTGTCAATTTCCTTATATGCTATCCTTGTTTTTCATTTCCAGAGTTTAAAGCTTCGGAGCCCACACTCAGGTACAAGTTTTATGCTGGGGTAACAATCATTGGGTACGAGGTCTATTTTTAATAGAACCTGCTTCAAATTATGCCAGATTTAGTAAATGTCACGAGGAACAATGCTCTGTCCAACAGAAATTTTCTGCAATAAAACAGATCTAAACAGTTCTGCAGCCAGATGAACTCGTAGTTTTGAATTTCCTCATCAGCCCCTGCATCACGGGCTGTATTTCATGATGACGTCCCTTGCAGCCTCCTCAGGCTAAGGGTCGTCACGTCCTCTTACTGCATGTTTTGTGTTTCCTTTGACACAATGGAGATACACAGGATAGAGTTCTGCAGTCGCAGTGAACAGATACATGCATTTTCAAAGCAGGTACACAACCCTCCTGCCTTTGCTTTCTCAGAGACAAACCGGGATCGCTCCAGCTCTCCTCCTCCACTTCCTGAAAGAACCCCAGAGTCGTTTGTTCTCGCTGATGGAGAAAGTAAGTGATGATTTATTTTCACAGCATTTTACTGAGATTCATACTTGCATCTCACCCTGTAATAACAGTGGCCCATTTGTTCCAAATATTACCAACGGACTGAACTATAGGAGAGGTAAGCAGATACAAAGGAAGCAATTCCCTGTTGGGAATTTCTGCAGCTGCTGCATTAGAGAAATCAAAAAGCAGCAACAAAGCACTGAGAAAAGAAGGGAGAGGATTCATGAATGACCACAGAAAGTGTTCTGCTGTGTGTTCCCAGGTCTGCAGCTTCCTGGAAGAAGTTCTACAGCTAGTTCTTGGGACTTGAGCAATGGAGCTTCTGAAACGTCATCAAAAGAGCCTGTGAAATGTTTCAGGAGAAGCAAGGTAAACAAAGAAACAAACCAGAAGCACCTGCACAAAAGCTACAGGTGAAGGAGATGGTGAGAAGAGGCTTTTCTAGCAGCAGCTACTGTTGCTTTCCGATGCCTAATCTAAAAACAGCATGCTTTGAGAGCACTCCTCAGTTTAAAGCAAGGAAACAAGTCTAATAATAATGCTGTGCTGTGGAATTGTAGACACAACCTGTGTCCAAAAGGAACAGAGCCACACATTCACGGCTGTGAATGGCTCTGTCTCAGCATTCATAAGCACCAGTTCTTCTGGAAAAAAATTGCTTGAGTAGAGTCTCAATTCCCATGTAGGACGGGTTCTGTTCATCACCATGGCTCCAGTTAATTATCCTCATAAGAAATTGTACTTTGGGATGTTATGGTTGAGCAGCAAAGCATTTGAGGAAAACAGTAAACTTGCTACTTTTTTTTGTTTTTAACAAAGCTTTTTTTTTTTTCTTTTTGTAGAGTTTGAAAATATTCAAAAACGTGAGAAAAAGTAAGTCATTCAGAATAACCTCAATGATTTTATCATTCCATCAAATGCTCTCAACGTGGCAGAGAGCGGGACTGTGGGGAATGCGATTGACCTGAGCCCCATTCTGGATTCTGCCTCACCTATCTGGAGCATAAATGAGGATTTTCTCATGAAGTTCCCTTTGATCTAAACTTAAAAAGTTTATCTTGAAAACAGGACTGCTAAAAACTGTTCAAAACACTGCTGAGCAAACGTTTTTCCAACAGACTGCACTGCAGTAGTGCATTCACTCCCTACTATGAGCAAATAATTCAACCCTTTACAAGGGGAGATAACAGCAGGACAAGGGAGAATGGTTTGAAGTTGAGGGAGGGAAGATTGCAGTTGGATGTCAGGGGGAAGTTCTTTACTATGAGAGCAGTGAGGTGCTGGAACAGCTGCCCAGAGAGGCTGTGATGCCCCATCCATCCCTGGAGGTGTTCAAGGCCAGTTGGATGCGGCTCTGAGCAATGTGGAGGTTGGCAGCCCTGCTTATGGCAGCAGGGTTGGAGCTTCGTGATCCTTGAGGTCCCTTCCAACCCAACCATTCTGTGATTCTATAACTCCTCAGAATAATGTCTTAAAAAATGTGCAGCATTTGAGCAGCGGTAACGCAGAGAGTGCTTTGTGCGGACTGCAGCTGTATGTGTGGCAGTGTGCTCTCCTGCAGGGCTGTGAAAACCCAGTTCATCAGGGGGTTACGATGGTCACTAACTGTGTCAGTACAATTTTGTGTTTCCAGGCGTCTGTACTGCATCTTCACTGACAAAACCATCAGAATCTGCACCTTCAAATCATCTGAGCTCTTTCTTTAATTTCGGTATGTATTCATGTCGTAGCGGGAGGATTTGTTGCTAACTACAACGTCAGACTGTATTTGTAGTTTTTGCACCAGCTGAATGCAGGCTGTTGCTTCAAGTAAACGACATCTTAAATTCTGGGAGAATTTAAATTACAGGTGTTTTGAAAAACCCCATTACTTCAGGAAATTACATGGTCCGTATCTGTAAGATGCTACATTTGTTGCATTTTATTTTATTTTTCCTAGGCTTTGCGAGTCGATTTTCAAAACCGAAAGGATCAAGAAACCCACCACCAGCATGGAACATTTAGGTAAACCTCGTAGATTTGGTGTCACAGAGGTGTGAATACCTTCTGATACGCCACGAGTGCTCACTTCAGGAAGGTTTCCATCAACGTGAACACACAAAACGTGTCGCATGATATCTGCAGATGAGGCACTACTCGCACGTTCTTCAGCTGAAGATCTGAAGTACCGGCAGCTGAGCGCTTTCAGTTAAATCACAACGGGGTGGACATCAAACCCAGGAACGGATATTTCATCCTAACGAGTCATCAATTTTTGTTGCGTTTTGGGATGTTTACTTCAGAACGGTAGATTTGAGCTTTCTGAAAGAAAACACTGAACTGTGAGTGATTCCAGTGAGCGCTGCTGAATGGTACAGAGGTGCAAGGAGGGACCGAACCACCACAAGGAGCTGAGACCTGCAGACGCCGTGTCACTGTTTCCTTCTGTGTTTCCATCACTTGAACTGAAAGGGAATTAGTATCTCAAACTGTATTTTTCCCCTCACATTTAATGTTCTTTTTTCTCATCTGAATCAGATTATTTTTCCTGTTTTTCGGTTAACAAAGATACTGCAGGACTGTGGAACCTGTAGCCCTCACTATACGGAAACCCACACAGCAATCCCAGCGCCCACAACTGACACCCGTTTGTATTTAATATTTTTACGACGCGGGAAACTCTGAAAGCCATATCCAAATTCGGGAATGGCTTATTTAATCTAGGAAGTATTTTATGATGTGTGACAAATGCTGTGTAAATAAATAAAGTTTATTTATGGGCCGGGAATTCACCCGCGCACGCAACACCGCAAGAGCGCCTCTGAGGGACCGCCGCCTTCCCGCCCTCCGCGCGCCGCCTGCTGCACCCACTAACGCAGCGGCGGGCATGTGACCCCGTCACGTGACGCACGGCCGCCCCGCCACCACCTACTACCGTCGTGCCGGCGCCCACGCATGCGCCCACGGGCGGACTACACTTCCCGGCGCTCCGCCGCAAACTACAACTCCCAAGGGGCGCCGCGCGACGCCTGCGCAGTGCCGGCTGGCGCTCGGGCCATTTAAATGTGTGTGAGGGAGACTGTGAAATGGCTGCGCAGGTCGCTGCGGTGCGCGCCGTATCCCGGGCCCCGGAGGAGCCGCCCCCGCTGCCCTCGGGGGAGCGGCCCGGCCGGCCTCGGGGCGGCGGGCGGCGGCGGCGGGCCGCTCCCGGCGAGGCGGCCGGCGGCAAGCGGGCCCGGCTGAGCCAGCCGCTGCTGGCGGGGCCCGGCCCGGCGGAGCCGCTGCCCCCGGCCGCCCTGCCCGCCGCCGCCGGGCTCTTCGCCTTCTCCCCGCTCAGCCTGCCGCCGCCGCCCGCCGCGCTCGAGGAGCGCCGTCACCACCACCACCGGCATCGCCCCGAGCCCGGCCCCGCCGCCGTGCAGCCGCAGAAGGCGAGGCGGGGCAGCCCCGCGGACGGGGCGGCCGGGCGGCCCAGCAAGCGAGGTGAGAGGGGAGCGGCGGCCGCTCGCGCTCCCGGCCCGGCCTCGGCCGCAGCCTGCGGGACCCCGGCGGAGCCCGCCCGCCGCCACGTCCCCCGGGGGCGGCCCCGCGCCCAGGCGCGCCGCGCTCGGCCTCCCGCACGGGCGAAGGCGGGAGGAAAGGAAACGGCGCTTCCGTGCGCTGGGAGCGCGGTGTGTGCGGGCAGCCCGAGCCGCGGCCCGGCCCGCTGCTTACCTACGGCGGGTCGCAGCTCGGGGCCGAGCGTGGAGCTGAGGCTCTGTTGGCGGCTGCTGCTGCTCGGAACTGCCCTCGGTGTGGATCCGGAGTGCGAATGCTTCCGAAGCGAAGCCTTCTTCCTGCTAGGCTTGTCTTAGCAGAACTGAGGAGCAGCTTGTTGTTTCTTTACTAAATGCTTCAGAGTTTCACGGTTAAGAATCTGTATTTAAGGTCTTTTTTTTTTTTTTTTTGTGTGTGTGTGTGTGTGTGTGTGTGTGTATGTGTGTAGTACAGGATAAGTGTCTCACAGATTAGTGGTAGTAAAAAGCCTCTTAGAAGAAGTAGCACGGGTGGGATGCAGCTGTAGTGAGGATGATGCGCTGTGAATTCTGCTTCAGGAGTGGATGTGATGGTGTGGTGCCGGGGAAAGCTGGAATGCAGGTGCTTACAGAGTGAGGTCTGAAGTGTGAACTCCAGCTGTAGTGTCTGAAGAATGGGCAAAGCTGTTGTGGAGGTAACGATGGACTTGGTTACAGAGGCGCTGCTGTGTGACTGTGTGAGCACAACTGCCACTGTTCAGTGCTGCTAAACCTCTGTTTGAATGGTGCCTGTGGGACTCTGCTGGCTTGATGAGTGCTGATAAACTAAAGGAGTATTTCTTCTTTGATCGGGAGTGCCTCTGTATGTCAATTCTAACCCTGCAGTTAAATGAGACCTCCTTTAAAGAAGACTTAAATGCTCTTTATAATTACCATCTAAATTCCAAATTTGTAAAGGAAAGCTGTTTGCTAGCTGAGAGTCTGAAGCTCCCTATTACCTGTCCCAGACTGCACATCTAGTGCATGTGGAGAGGGGGCTGTTGTTTCACTCCAGCTTTTCTTCTCATATCTAATTAAGCTGCCTATTTGTCTGTATTGTTCCTGTCTTTGGCTGTAGATGACAGTGAGCATCTCCAGTGTTTTTGCTGGTGTTCCAAAGTGCAACATGCATATCTGTTATTAGGGAATGTCTTCAAGCAGGGTGGTACTTTCAGTGAAAACTGGTGCATATTTGAGTTTTTCAAACCAAATATCAAGTTAGAGATGTTTAAGATACAGTTAACATCTAAAAATTATGAGAAACTTCAGCACAGAAGTGTTCCCAGCTGTGCAGTCTCGTGAAACTCTTGTTTAGGTTCAACTTGGACTTGGAATCTCTGGGCTCCCCAGAGATGAGATCTGAGCTCCCTCTTTACAGTTGGAAAAGCAGCACCTGTACTTGAGAGCGCAGTGAGTGAGTGAGATTGTGCATGCTTAAGTTCTGAGACCTCCAGAGAAGCTTACTGAAGGCGCTGGTTCACTTGAGTTACTGAAACGACTGGTGCTGCCTTTCTGCTCCTTGTCTTCTCTAGTAGTAATAAAAAATAAAGCCACTTGCTTCTTGTAGAATCTGGGGCATAACAGCAAAACTTGTATTTCAGGTCCTAAAGCAATTGTGTGGAGTTAGTATATTAAGCAATCAGCTATTTCTTTCATGAGAAAGGCTGTTTGCTACAAGAGGCTGTTAAGAAGGTCAACCATCTCCAGTACAGAGCTCAGAGAGCAGAGCATTAATGATACAGTTAAATACCATGGTGAAGCTAACTAATTGAAGCTGCATGTATTTGTTATTACAGCTTTTCTCCTAGGTGACTGTAATGTGTTATTTTTTTCTCTAACTTCAAATACAGCAAGAAAAGAAAGGAAATATAAACTATAGCTTTGTGTACAGGGGAAATTTGATTAGCGTGGAGTTCTGTGCTTAGGAAACTGGAAGAGCTTCAGCTATTGCGTGTCCTGGTCAGATATTGCCATCAGCAGCAGATTGCTCTGATGCCTGTAGCTTATCCTGACAATGTGGCACTTTAGGTTTTATGTACATCACGTTCTTTGATTCAGGCAGATTAAAATCTGAGCAATTCAGGTTTTGTAGCAGCTGGACCAGCAGATTCCTATCATTGTTACTTGCCACGTTGTTCGAAGTATTTGTAAGCCTGAAAGATAAGCAGTTAAGCTGCGTGTTGCTTGACAGATTCTCTACGTTCATCTCTTTAAGCCTTTCAGCATTTTCAAGGTTGATTAACTTCAAAAAACAAACCAAAACTGATAAGTCAGTGCTTTTTAGCTGACAGTTACCTGTGAAGCAGACTGGTGCAAGGTAACTGAACGCACGGATGTGATTGTTTGGATACTTTGTGATACCTGTTCATATTACAGCCATCCCTTTATATTTGACTTTATCAATTTCCACTCAGCTGAATATGAAAACTTTACGTAAAATATCCTGTTGCCCAGATATATCAGTTCTTTGATAGGAAAGATCAGTGGCCAGAGGTGTTTTCTTGCCAGAAAGTGAACTGCTCCAAGTATTTTTTCCCTTTAAATGTCAGTCATGCTCATATCTCTTCAGCTGCGCTGTTTTGTTTCTATATTTTTGTCTCCCAATTCAGGCTGGTATTCTGTAATGAAAGTGTGATGTTTAAATGTTATGGATACTTGTTTATCCTCTTCCTCTGCATGGCACTGCTTTAAATGTCAGGAGTTATTAATGTGCATCTTAATTTAGATGCTGTGAAATATGTACTCCTTTCAAAAGTTTTTTCTAACAAATTTATTACAAATGGAAGTATTTCTGAAATGTTAAGCTTGAGGTTAGGGGGTTTTCCTTAATTCAGAGCTTTCCTTAGGAAGGGATGTGCTGTGTTTTTGTTCCATTACTTTATTCTAAGTCAAAAGACAAGGTGTTACCGTTGGTCAATCTTTGTGGGAACAGATAATGGTAGGAATTGCAGTCTTCGTTCTTTTTGGGTGAATATGCTGCAGTGCAGAACTCTAATCTTCTCTCTGTTATTGCTGCTAGAAACTCAAGATGAAAATGGCAAAACCCAACGAGCTGACAGTCTTATTATGAAGAAGATAAAGAAAAAAAAGAAAAAGAAACATCGGGAAGATGTGAGGGGCAAACGTCTGAAGATGTACAACAAGGAAGTGCAGACAGTGTGTGCTGGGCTCACCCGCATCGACAAAGAGACTTTGTCTCAAGGACAGTGTGATAACTTAGAAATGAACAAGGAATCCTTCAGGTATCTTAAGGATGAGCAGCTCTGCAGACTGAATTTGGGCATGCAGGAGTACCGAGTGCCCCAGGGAGTACAGACACCGTTTGTGACGCACCAGGAGCATTCTGTTCGCAGCAGCTTCTTGAAAACTGGCACTAAATTCAGTAACTTCATTCACGAAGAACATCAGTCCAATGGTGGTGCCCTGGTCCTTCATGCCTACATGGATGAACTCTCATTTTTGTCTCCAGTGGAGATGGAGAGATTTGCAGAAGAGTTTCTCGCTTTGTCGTTCAGTGAAAATGATAAAAACGCAGCTTATTATGCTTTGGCCATAGTACATGGAGCAGCTGCTTATTTACCAGACTTCCTGGATTACTTTGCTTTTAATTTCCCCAACACTCCAGTGAAAATGGAAATTTTGGGCAAGAAGGACATTGAAACAACAACAATTTCAAATTTTCACTCTCAGGTAAGATCTGTTTAAAAGCGTGTGAGTTTCACAACCTTGGATGTGGTTGACCTCATTGATCCAGAGCAGGGATAGCCTAAAGTAGGTGAGGCACGTGTTGTTTTTATTCTAAGCAGATGGAAAAAATGATTGCTTCTCTGCCTGCTCAAAGTTCCTCTGTGTGCACAGGTAGCTGAGGCACTGCTAACCCTCACCTTTCATAGATCTGTAGTGATTTTCCTGCAAGCTTCTGATCTTTTTCTGAGCTTGGAAGAATATTGACACTGAAACCACAGACCAGTGTGTGTTAAGAGTTGCTTAGATCACAAATGCTAAGGTTACTTCCCCCTGTCAGTAGATCAGTCTTTGTTTGCAGTAACATTGCTTTTTAGGTTTCTAAGTATCTACTTTTCAGGTTTCAGTGTATCACGCCTGAGAAGTTGTTTTCACATCTGTGGGTCTGACAGGGGTGTTAATTTGTACTTGCCTTCCAATGTCAGATGGCTGGAATACTCTTAATAGCCTTTGATTTAAGGCTTTCACTTTATGTACTGCCTTGATATTGATAGCTTCAGCCTATCTTAAATCTGTAGAAGTAAAACCTTTTCATCCTTTGTTTAGAGGATAAAAGCTTAGTTCTGAAAGCTGGTCTCACAGGGCTCAAGCTCTCAAGATATCTCATGTGACTTAAATGCATTCATCAGTGGCATTTAAGCTAAATATGGGATTCTGTTAAGAAAAGCCCTTACCTTTGGCTCTTGTCATCAAGCTTGGAAGTATCTGTGACCGTTCAGCAGTGCTATGGTTTGGGTAAATTTGTAAGAGATGGAGTAAAACCTCCTCTTTCTCAGTCTAGCCTGAAAACTGTTGCTTGCTTCTGCTTCAGTGCTTGAAAGAAGTTAAGATCCTGAATATTGGATCACCTGTTGGGAGGAGGAACTGGGAACTGTATAACTTGCAGTAATCTGGGTCTAGGAGAAGGTTACCAAACACTTGTGTATCAGATTTGCATTGGAAAACTGGTTACTGCCTTACAAGGTTATTGTATGGTAACTTGCAGAGTATTTGAATACTTCCCAGCAGTTACAGTCACCATTAAATCAGTAATTATACTGCTTAGCTTATGAGTGTTTTTGACAATGGAGAGCTGCTGCAGCACTCACTTCAGAATAGCTTTGTGTGAATAAGAGGCTTCCTTGGGTTACAGGCTATGCTGGTATTCAGTTAATTCTATTTTAAGCACTCTCTGAACTCGATTGAGTCAGACGTTAGGTTCAGTTGGGTTGAAATGCCTCTCTAAGCAGGTCATGCTGAGCTGGGTTTAATCTCCTCTGCCTGCAGTGTGTTGGTGTGGTTCACACACTGAACAAATGTGTACAGCAGCGTAAGTTGTCACAGCTCTTAAGACAACTGAAATACGAGTCTTTAGAGAGTGTGGGTAATGCCAGAACATGAAGATGTATTTGAGCTGATGGATTAAACCACGGTAGCTGCATTCTGCTGGAACTTTCAAGCTGGCTTGTAAGATTTATTTGCGGATGGTCCAAATGCTCTGCTTAGGAGAGAGGGGGAGGATAAGGCAGGTTGTTTTGCTTGGCAGCCTAATTTGGCTAAGTTTCACTTTTGGACTTTCCTACATGAGGAAATGTCCCATACAAGTGTGCTGTAGAATGGTAATGTTACACCTGTGCAGACCAAGCATGGCCCAGGAGTGTTGTGTACTCTGCTTTCAGCTGAGGATGCTCAGTTGAGTTGCCTCAGCTTTTATGGTGAACCTTCTGTATGCATGAATTTGTTTGCTATACTGAACCAGGCCTTTGGCGTGGATGGCATTCAACTGTTTCTTTTACTGGTTTAGAGAAAATGAATATTGTTAGAAAGCATCTCGAGTTCCGGGTAAGGACCTGAATCTGGAAGACTTTACTAAATCTAATGATCAGTTCCTTGGCAAATTGAATTCCTCTGCTGTCAGGGCAGTGAGGACAGTACAGATGGAATACTTAAATCACTCCAGTGTGTATTTATACTAGCTCATGTTTGGGTTTTGTACGTTAAAGTACTTAAGCTTGAATATTCTCTGGATTTCTCCTGCTGGTGTTGGCTCTGGCTTATCTGTTTGAGTACTTACATGCTAAAGCTGAGCTTTAGTTTAAAGCTGTTCAGTTACACTAGGAGCTTTCAAGACAGTGACTTGTAAATTCCTTTGCATAAGGGCAGAGGAATTAGAATGCTCTTAGCAGTGCAGCTGAAAGGCACCCATACTCTCTCTGGCTGTTATCTTACTACATCTGCTAAGTCTGCACTGAGAATGAAACGTATCTAACCTTCACAATCCACTCCTGCTTTTTTCTTCTCCAAGAAGAAACTGATCATTTTCCTTGTAGGGTCCGTAAGGACTGTTGCAAAAGAAGGGTTTGAGAAGCAGTGGAGGAAAGAGGAGGAAAGAGCTGAGGGAAAAATCAGATTTCTCTGTAAGCTGATATTGCTTCTGGGAAGGAGATGGGAGAAGCAGCCAACAGGTGATAGATAATAGGAAGCTTTCCTACTCCTGCAGCGTGCTGTCAGAAAAGGTTAAACTGTCCTTGACAGCTGTGGCCAATGAACCATACTGCTGTTGGATGGCTGCCCCGTTTTAACTTCTCTTGCTGCTGGAGGAAGCTCTTCATTCAGAAAGGGTCATTTCTTTCTTTTTTTTAACAGAAGCTACCCAAGTATTAAAGAAAAACAGTGCATCTGTACTGCAGATGTGGTGTATCAATTAAAAGCAATATGAACAGTACCTGATGCTCTGACTGATGTATCTGGCAGGTTGTAGACAAACACAACCCCTGCTGTAATGGTAGAGAATGTCACACTCTCCTCCTTCCTTCTCCTTTGTAAATAGAAAGCCTTCTTGTGTTCTTTCTTTTTATAGCAAAGTCTTTGTGTGGTTGGTTTTGTAGCTGACTTGATGCACTGAAAAATCACTGTAACTGGTTCCTGCTTTCCCTGAAACCACAGAGAAACTTCTCAAACATTTTAAACTGATGAACTTCTTCCCACTGTGAGTGTGGGGCTTGAGATGAGTGCAGCAGCCTGTCCAGGCCTGCACTGAGCTGGCACATGTTTTCAGTGTAAACACAGGCTGATTTAATCCAAGTGTACATATTTGTTATTAAAAACCAGCTAAACATAGAAGTCCAACATTTCTTTCAAGTATTTTTATCTCCTTTCAAGCTCTCACATTTCTTTTGTATCACATTCCACTTCCTTTTAAAAAAAAAAAAAGCTTTTCTGTTTTTTTTTCTTTACAAAATTTAATGGTTTTACAAGGAAAATCCTGTGTGTGTTTTCTCCTGATTCATTTTGACTTTCACGACAAGCTCCTGTGAGATATTAGTGAACCTCAGCAAGTCATGTCAACAGAACGTAACTCGTCTGGAAGTCCTGTCTCTCCACTTGCCTTAATGGCACGAGGCAGTTAACTGTAACTGACTTGAGGACTAGGGCATTTTAGTCCTTTGTTCTCCTGTGGCTGCACAGACCTGGGATAACACTGGTTTGTTTCAGCTGAGATCATTCTACCTTTACCAGTCATGTTCTAATAGGATCTGGGGGCTTAACTTGAACTTAGGGCAACAGCCAGAAAGAATTAACAGGTCTCCAAAGACAGTGCCTCAATCAACAACAAACAAACATAAAGTCTGTATCATCAGAAGCTGACAGTGTGTGCTAATTCAGCTTCAGGTGGTGTAACTCAGTGCAGCGTTCCTTTGAGTGACCTGGGATGCGAAGCTCCACCATCCAGGTGGAGGTGATGTGGTGCAGCTGAGCTTAGGGCTCAGCAGCAGAGCTGTGAGATCAGCTCCTGCTTCTCACTGAAGTTCTTATTGAAGGCTTTTATTGAAATGTGTCACTGCTACCAACTGTATGTGACAGAGGAGGAAGGAACGAGCTGAACTTCTGTACTTGTGCAGAATATCTGTGGCTGCTGCTAGAGGACAAAATTGCAGCAGTAGCTGTAACTTTTATCTCACCTAATTTCCTTTTAACAACTTCATGGGATATTTAATTACACCTGATTTGTTGGCTGGCAAACTGTAAGAGCAGACACTTCACACGAGGTTACTTCATTCATCCATCTGTGGTGCACAGGATACCTTCTGTAACTCCATCAATAAATGGCTGTGAGAAACAAACTTAGTGTTGTCACTTGCTCTCCCAAGGAAGGTTTTGTGATGACCTCTTGAAGTGGGTCCAGAGGAGGGCCACTAATGATAGAGAGCTGGAGCAGCTCTCCTGTGAGGAAAGGTAAACTGGGCTTGTTTAGCTTGGAGAAGAGAAGCTCCAGGGAAACCTCACTGTGGCCTTCCAGTACTTGAAGGGAGCCTATAAACAGGAGGGGGAATGGCTGTTTACGTGAGTGGATAGTGATAGGACAAGGGGAATGGTTTTAAACTGAGATAGAGGAGGTTTAGATTAGATGTTAGGAGGAAGTTTTTCAGCCAGAGGGTGGTGAGGCACTGGAACAGGCTGCCCAAGGAGGCTGTGGATGCCCCATCCCTGCAGGCATTTGAGGCCAGGCTGGATGTGGCTCTGGGCAGCCTGGGCTGCTGGTTGGCGACCTGCACACAGCAGAGGGTTGGAATTGGATGAGCATTGTGGTTCTTTACAACCCAGGCCATTCTGTGACCTGAGAACAGGGTCTGTGCTACAGAGGATGTAAAACAAATCTGTGAGATTCAGGTGTTCCTGGCCATGGCTGTGTTGGTAGGTTATATTACAAACAACAAGCCTTGGTAAAGGTAAAAACTGAAATGTGCATCTGACTCTTGATTTTTAGTTAGACCTCTCATTTCCTCAGTTTATTCTCTGATTTTTATGTACTGTAGCACTCTTTGCAGAACCATTAAATGCAGGAACACAGGTTTTTCGCTGCAGTCATAGGGAGAGTTTGAAATGCTGAAGCAGTGCTCAAATGCAGTGATTAATAGTTCCAGCTTCCTGGTGAAAAACTGAGTCACAGTAAAGCTTTGGTTGTCAGTTTTCTCACGTCAGCCTGGAAGTGTTGCTCCTGCATTAGGCAAGCACTCCCTGGTTGTTATTCAAGCAATAGCAGCGTGTCCTGTTAGTAGTTTAAACAGGATTTATTTTCTCTTGGGATACCCTGCAGACACAGACGTCCTGAAGTCCTTGTGTACTCCTAAAGGCACCACTAATGAAACAGATGGAGACAAGCCACGGATTCAGATGAAAACTCATTGGTAGCTTAGTGTATTATAGTAGAAAACTGTAATTTCTTGTAGCAGCACTGAATGTGTGGTGGTGTTTTTGTCTTTCTGGTCCTTCAGGTCAATCGAACGTACTGCTGTGGAACCTACAGAGCAGGGCCCATGCGGCAGATCAGCCTTGTTGGAGCAGTGGATGAAGAAGTTGGGGACTACTTCCCAGAATTCCTGGATATGTTGGAAGAGTCCCCATTTCTGAGAGTAAGCAGGAACTTGTGGTGTTTAAGTGCATCATTAGGTGTTCAAAAGATTGCTAAGATTCATATATTTTCAAGTGATTAGAAACCTTAAAAGTGTTTTCCCCATTGATATCACTGGGGCTCCTGAGGATGGAGGTGCACTCTTTCCTGTATCCAAATGGAAGGTATGAACAAACTGGCTTTGGTTCTGTAAATCACTCCAAAGCTGATTATGATTTACACTATTGTGTATCAGCTACCCAGTTATCTACTTCCCTAAAAACTGAGTTTGAAGTTATCTTGGAATATATCTTACTTCATGAAGAGTGTCAGCTTTGGTAGTAAGTTTGAACGAGGCATCATTAAGTTTTTCCATCTCACCCAGTGTTTTTTCTCCCTTTTTTTTCTCTTTTTAGATGACTTTGCCCTGGGGTACTCTTTCAAGCCTCAGGCTTCAGTGCAGGTCACAAAGTGATGATGGTCCCATAATGTGGGTGAGACCAGGAGAGCAGATGATCCCAACAGCTGATATGCCAAAATCGCCTTTCAAACGGCGCCGGTAATCCTTGGCTTCTCTTTCTCTCTAAAGGAAGAACACTGCAGTTGTGTTCTTTGGACTCGAGAACAACACCTTGATATTTTAGATGTAATTAGTTCTTCAGCTCTCTCAAGCTTACGTTCTTCATTTTCATTTCTGTTTGATTAGCTCAGTGAACTGAGCTGAATGTGCAAATATCACGTTGTAGATTTATCACTTGCGATTGTAGTTCTGTCACTTCTCAAAGTAATGTGGCCTTCATCAGTGCTTCCTTAGTGTTAAAACCAGTTCTCACAGCCCCCAGGAGACGCTTCAATCCTTCAGCTGATTTCTGGAAGAAGAACTAATTTGGGGAGTTTAATGCTCAAAAACAACTTAGATCCTTAAACCTCTAGAGCTGCATTTTAGTGTTAGTGCTATCACAGGAAATGCTGTGGTGTGTAGATGTACTTTCTGTCTTTCTCAGATTGTGCTGTAGAACTGATTTTAGATGAAAAATTGGAAGCGTGTTTTGATGGGATTCGATCTTTTGTTGTCAGATAACCAGAGTGAAGGAAATGCTTTGGCCTTTGATTTTGAAACCTGCAGCATACAGCATGTAAAGATTACTTCAATACAAGCATTTGTTTTTCTGAGCAGTTTGCCACAGATCTTAGTGTGTCTTTTAATTATGCTACAGGTCAATGAATGAAATAAAGAATCTCCAGTACCTACCTCGGACCAGCGAGCCCCGTGAGGTTCTGTTTGAAGACAGAACAAGGGCTCATGCTGACCATGTGGGTCAGGGGTTTGACTGGCAGAGCACGGCTGCTGTAGGTGTTCTGAAGGCTGTGCAGTTTGGGGAATGGTAAGTGCCACTGAAATGCTACTGCTGTAATGGGAGGGGGCAAATCTCAATGTTTTCTCCCTGAGAAGAAAATCCATTGGGGAAAAAAGGCTAATTAAAGAAATTGTCTAAACCCTGTAATGAAATAAATGCGTCTGTAGCTTGAGAAATGTAAGGCATATGTCTATTATTTTTCTCTCTTGTTGAGGGAGTACTGAAGTTGTAACAAGCTTACAAAAACATTTATGACATACAGAGTAAGCCTCCAGGTACCACACCTGGACTGTGGCTGTTCTTTTCCTAGAAAACAGCTGTATTATTGCTACTTTTTGTAGACAGCAATCTAGGAACTCAATAATGGAATTTAAAGCTGCAGTGTTTTCTCACTCCGTGTACGTGAGGTGTTGCTGTTGACCTTACACAGAAACTCTATATTTGCATAGTTATTTCTAACAATTACTGTAGATGAGAGAATCACAGCATGGCCTGGGTTGCAAAGGAGCACAGTGCTCATCCAGTTCCACCCCCCTGCTGTGTGCAGGTCGCCAACCAGCAGCCCAGGCTGCCCAGAGCCACATCCAGCCTGGCCTTGAATGCCTGCAGGGATGGGGCATCCACAGCCTCCTGGGTTTTTAATAATAGTTTTTAATAGCATCATTAGCAGTACTGCTAAGTTTTCATATGGAAAAACACATGCCAGAACTTCTTTTATCTGATTCACAGCCATTAGATTAAAAACCAGCTGATTAATATTGTCCTCATTACAGCTTCAGGGTGCCACATGGTTACTCTGCGTTTTTTTCTTTTATACAATGTTATTTTGCCTAATCACAGAATAGAAGAGTGGAGGCAAATTGTAGCTCCAAGATACTTTGGTGTACAGCAAATGTCAGCCTCATTTTCTGGCATATCAGTATGGTATTTGTCCACCAAATCATTGCTTCTGTTGTACGTGCACTAAAAAAAACACCAACTATCCACAGACTGTGCCTCCTTTCTGATACAGCATGCATATCTACTGAGGAGTGATGAGACTTTGTGCCCAGTAGAAAAGAAAGTAGTTTGTTCAATGAAACAATAATCTATAACTGAAGTTCTTTATAAATCCTTGCACTTCTCATCTCTTTGTAGGAGCGACCAGCCTCGTATAACCAAAGATGTGGTTTGTTTCCATGCTGAAGATTTCACTGATGTTGTGCAGAGACTTCAGCTGGACCTGCATGAACCACCGGTGTCACAGGTATTTGAGCTTTCCTACTGACAGCACTTTGTAGGAAGCTCGACAGTTTTCAGGTTCATTGTGCAGCCACCCCTTCTGTACCCCTGTGGCCATCAGTTCTCAGCTCCCTTATGCAGTTTTCCTTCCTGTGTTTCCTTTCTACCAAACTGGGATTCCTGCTCTGAGTCACACGGTGGTCTTCTGCTATTGTCATGTCTGTAGTGATGATGATTGGTGGCCCTCAAAGAACAAAATTCTTGTTTAGAAAAAAGAAAGCTTCTTAAACAGAAATGTGATGCAGATCCAAAGTGTGTTATTTTAGGTGGGTACTGAATTATTTGCCCTGAACAGAGTCCAGCACTAACTTTACCATCTTTCCTCCTCTCAGTGTGTTCAATGGGTGGATGAAGCCAAACTAAACCAAATGAGACGGGAAGGCATTCGCTATGCTAGGATTCAGTTGTGTGACAATGACATCTACTTCATCCCTAGGAATGTCATTCATCAGTTCAAAACAGTGTCAGCAGTCTGCAGCTTAGCCTGGCACATACGACTTAAACAATATCACCCTGTGGGGGAGACTTCTCAAAACACAGAGAGCGATTCAAACTTGAACAGTAGCATTCCTGGAAAGACAGAGCCCAAAGGTGAAGCCCGATGTGTGAGTGTAAAAACAGAGTGTGAAGAACCAGGCATAGAAATGCAGCTTACCACAGGGATGCTCTCCTCCTCTGTTGCTTCGCTATCAGGACTTGTGCAAGCAGATCAGGTGGCCCAGCCCCTTCCAGGTTTTAAAACAGAGTCTGATCAGCAACACAATCCGCAGGATCATGCAGTCTCTTCTGTGTGATATGTATATAATCAAACATTTTTTAACTACTTTTTAAAATTTTGATGTGAAGTTATAGTTTTATAACTGGCTTATGTTTTATTGGAGAAATCTTGCCTATAATTCTATAAAGAAAGGTGACATTCCAAAATGTCAAGCATATCTTTTTTACACAGATTATGCAAAATTCAAGTTGTATTTTAACCCCTTAGTACAACCTGTAACAGTGGTCTACCACTTCTTTCTGTTTAACTAATGAGATATTGAATATCTCCTCAAAACCAGAATGAAATTCCTCCAGGAGCATAAAATGATTTAACTCTACTGCTTGGTGTTATCTCCCGATTTTCACTCTCTTCACCAGAAAGTGATGCTTTTGTAGAAGACTTGTAGGAACTTTCCCCATCACAATTTAATTGCTAGGAAAAAAAAAAAAGAGAAAGCACAGCACTTTTGTGGACAATTTGTGAAATATTTGGTGTCTGTTGTTGATGCGGCTCATATGCGAGTTGGTTTCTAAACGAGCTGTAGGAATTGGTCTGTATTTCTTACAGATCCTACAAAGGTGATCTGTAAAACCAACTGCAGGCAGTGTCTGATCCTGTTGAAATGCCATGGCTTACTGACCTAACGCTCATCACTGCGCTGCTTGTGCTACTTGGCGCGAGGGTTTTGCTCCCAAAAGCTGCCTCCTCTGGATGTGAGTAATACCAGTGTGGAAGGCAGAGAACCTGTTGGTAGACTTGTGGAGGAACTTGTTATCTTTGAGCACTTTAAGGCTTTCAAATGCTAACCGACTTGGCAGCTTGTTTTGATCGGGTCGTACTTCATGTCCAATGGAACCACACTTTCCCTTGTACTGATGCACTTAATATAACAGCGTTGGGTTGGTGACTGACTTCCACCATCAGAATGTCCATTTTCTAGGAAGCTCTGTATTACTGTTTCACAATAAAAAGTATTATGGCATCGGACTGCTGTTTCCATGTGTAGCTTTTGGGTGCCCAGGTACTGTGGAAGAATCAGTGGTACGTGCTGAATACTTGGAGTGTCAGCTCTCAACAGTTCTTGAACGACCTTTCAATATTTCTAAATGTTAATATGTAATCTGTATTTGACTTTCACTCACCCCATTTATTGCTGCCCTTTCCGGTCACTGAAAGGAACGATCCTGTCCCTCTCACCCTCTCCCTTCCCCCTACCCACATTTAGAGTACAAGTTGGGTTTTGGTGCAACTGAAGCTGTCTCCAGATGGCTTTATCTGTTCTCATCCTCACCAGGGTAGGAAAGATTTGAAACACTATGTTAGAGTAGACAAATGCAAAGATGCTGTGTTAGTTCTGGACGCATCTTTTTAATATCAATTATTACTCTTCTCTTTATAAGGGTCTCTAAAATATGTTACTCTATTATAAAAATTACTTTGTGCAATATTGTTTGTGTAGGCTTTTATATACATATTAGCACCTCAGTGTAGAGGTCACTATTTTAAACTGATAGAAAGAAAAAATCATCAGATGATACTGCAGTGATTAGTTAGAGCCTGTATTACTCCTTATGTGTATGTATGTATTGTCTTCGGTACAGAAATGAGGACTAGGAAATATTTCAATTTAAAACTAATTTACAGATTGAAGTGGTAGTGACTCGTTTAGTAATCTGTGTAAATAAGGTGTTAGAATGGAAAGCTTTTATGATAAAATGTGATTCATGCAGGGGTGTAATTTAATCTTAGCAGAAATCCTAGATCATCTGGACCGGTTCGTTAACGAGCTGTCTGTTCTCTGGTGGGTTTTTTTTTTCCACTTCTTATGTTGAGAGGAATTTCATAGCTTTAAGGGTTGTGCAAAGTAAAATTCCTCACAGGCAATAGTGGTTTCAGTTCATCCTTCATGTCTGAAGATCGTATCACCTGAGGGCGTTCTTTCCTTTTAAGAAGTCTGCTAGTCTTCCAAGTGCCCGTTTTCCTTCTCTCATGTGCTGTTCTGGCCGTGTCAGCAGAGCAATGCGATGCAGTGAGGTTTTGCTCAGGAGCTGACAGAGCTGCAGGTACTCCAGTGATCCCACAAACATACCTTTAAAGGCCCAGTAACACAGATTAAGAGCCCCTCGCACACTGACCTGTCTGCTCTGTGTTTGAGGCAGAATGAAGGGAAATCAATTTGGGAATCCTTGGTGTGAATTCTGATAGTGTCTTCTAAATGGATAAAGGCAGAAGATGGGAATGGCTTATGTTTCTTTTAGAACTGCTGTAGTGAAATCTGTGGGCGCTGCCTGAAATATCCCAAAAGTTCCGGGATGTCTCTGGTTGGAGGGATGTGCCCCATAGCATCGTGCTCTCTCCATGCTCAGTCACTGATAACATCTGTTTAATAGCACACTTAGGTTTGTTCTCAGAATGTGAAGCATAGGAGGGAGCTGTGCCAGAAGCGATAGCAGAATGCAGATTGCGGGTGAGGTTCCGCTGAGCTCCGTCCTCTCCTTCAGATGTGGTCACTTTGTGCACATCTGACACCGCCTCTTTGGGAAGCTGGGATGCTCAGCGCAGTGTTCTCAGGGGATTTATTGGCTCTCTTCATAGGCACAGGTGTCACCATACGTAAAAAAAAAAGGGCTGTGTTCTGTACTCTATCAGCTCTCCTCACCCCTTACAGTGGGACAGAACTGTCAGAGCTTCTACCGTGGGCAGGAGCTCTCATCCATCACCTGGCACAGCCCACTGGTTGCAGCTGCCGATCCAGGCAGGGATCCAGCCCCAAAATCCCAACTTCAGGGCTGATGGGGGGCAAAGCGCACGGCATAGAGAAGGCTGTGGCACTCTCGAATAGTTTAAGGAACTTCCAACGCTTCTGGTTTCTCTGTACAACGTGTGTAGCAGTTTCCGTGTTGCTGTTTTGTGATTAGGTTTGATTGGCAGCTACGGTTTTCTGTGGTTAATTTACGAAGCCTTTGCCGACCGAGGACGCGTCCCATTGCCTGGAAGGCTGTTTGCTTTGTGCGGCCTTAGCGTATTTATTGACATTTAGCAAGTGTTTTACGGAGGTTTTTATACTAAGTCGTGTACGCAGGTAAAGCTCTAAAGCCTCTCTGTGAATAATCCTTACTGCGGTGCGTTTCTTTCAGTAGCTGACTGTACCCGTGTCCGAGCTGTTTCTTTGTAAAATAGTCCAACGGAATGCATAGAAAAAATAATAATAATAATAATTTTTTTTTTTTTCTTTCCTCCCTGTAAAAAGTATTTTTTTAATAAACAAAGTCTGATTTTTGTCCTTTACCGTTTGGACGCGTCTTTAATGCGGGGCGGGGCGGCGGGCGGTAACTGCGGCTCCGGGGGGGAGCGGGTTGGGCTGGGCGGAACCGAGCCGGGCTGAGGCGGGCCGCGCTGAGGGGCCGGAGCCGCATGGCCGCCCGCGAGCGGGACGCGATCTCCTGGTACCAGAAGAAGGTGAGGGCGCCGCGGGGCGGGGCGGGCGCGGGCCCGGCCGAGCGCTCAGCCTCCTCCCCCTTCAGGTCGGGGCCTACGATCAGCAGATATGGGAGAAGGCGATCGAGCAGACGGAGATGAAGGTAACGTTTCCCCCCCCCCCCCGCCCTCCCGGCGCTGCGCTGCGGCCCGCGCGGCTCACGGCCCTTTTGTTCCCGGCTTCGCAGGGCTTCAAGAGCAAGCCGAAAAGGAAAGGGCGAATCCAGGCCGATCTGATCGACGTGGATCTGATCCGAGGTGCGGGGGGGGGCTGGGGGGAGACGCTGTGAACGGGGCGGCCCCACAGGGAGCGCGGGCGGGGCGGCACGGCGGGAGCTGGGCGCGATAAGGGCGGGCGGAGCGGCGCCTCGGGGCTGCGGCGGTTGGCTTCGGCCGGAGGGGAAGCGGCCCGCAGGGGAGTCGTTGCGGTTCGCCGGCACGGAGCGGTTTGTGTCTGCTTTGAGGTTCTACGTTTGCCAAAGCGAAGCCCGAGATCCCCTGGACGTCGTTGACTCGGAAGGGAATCGTGAGGGTTGTGTTCTTCCCGCTGTTCAGTCAGTGGTGGATCCAGGTTACGTCCCAGCGCATTTTCACGTGGCTCCTGGTGCTCTACGTTATGCAAGGTAAGCAGCGGCAGCTCTTTTTTCCTATAGCAATGTTCTGTGCTTTCATAGGCTGCAATGGAAAGGCTAAGGATGCTGCCTGAAATCCCTTTGTCTGTGCCGTGCTCAGCCCCTGCCTGCCATCCTTCCCAGAATCACAGGATGTCCTGGGTTGGAAGGGACCTCCAGGATCACAAAGCTCCAACCCCCTGCCACACGCAGGGCCACCAACCTCCACATTTCATAGCAGCCCAGGGCCCCATCCCCAGGGCCTTGAACACCTCCAGGGATGCACGGGGCATCACAGCCTCTCTGGGCAGCTGTTCCAGCACCTCACTGCTCTCATAGGAAAAAACTTCCCTGACATCCAACCTCAATCTTCCCTCCCTCAACTCCAAACCATTTCCCCTTGTCCTGCTGTTATCTCCCCTTTCCAAGAGCTGACTCCCCTCCTGTTTGTAGGCTCCCTTTAGGTACTGCAGGCTGCAATGAGGTCACCCTGCAGCCTTCTTTTCTCCAGGCTGAACAAGCCCAGCTCCCTCAGCCTGTCCCCACAGGGGAGGTGCTGCAGCCCCCTGATCATCTCTGTGGCTCCTCTGGACCCTCTCCAAAGGCTCCCTGTCTTTCTTGTACTGGGGGCTCCAGACCTGGACACAGCACTGCAGGTGGGGCCTCACAAGAGCAGAGCAGAGGGGGACGATCACCTCCCTGTCCCTGCTGGCCACCCCTCTGCTGATGGAACCCAGGATCCCATTTGCTTTCTGAGCTGTAATCACACACTGCTGGCTCATGTTAAGCATTTCATCCATCAGGACCCCCAGGTCCTTCTCTGCAGGGCTGCTCCCAAGGACTTCCCCAGCATTGCAGTCAGTGTGAGCTGTGATGGCACTTCAGTACCACATGCAGAAGGGCACTGGGAGGCAGTGATCACCGAGATGAGCTGAGCTTTGAATTTTGCTCATGTTGTACCAAGGCACCCCTCTCTGTTCAGTACTTTGTCCAGTGTTTGTCCCCTGGTTGCATTTCTGTTCGCCACCATTGAAGAAGTGTTCAGGAGCCCTTCTGATACAGTGCAAAGATTTGCAGCTCAGACTCCTCATGTCAACTCATGTTGTGTCACTGTGCTGTTCTGAACAGATGTGGAACCTCATCTACCAGAAGTGATGAGTTGGTCCTTCATGGGACACATTTCAGGGCACCCACATTCATTTCAGATGTATTTTCAATCTCCTTCTTTGTGCTTTCTCTTCCTGTTTTGAGAAGGCTGCTTTGTAGAATGAGCAAGGCCTAACGAGATGTGTGACACCCATTTTGGCTGAAGTTAGAAAGCAGAGTGAAAAATAACCAGAAATGAGGCCACGCTGCTAATTTTTGCATTTGATGAGTTTTTCTCCTTTTCAGTCATAGCAGTTATATTGTATTTCGTGGTGCCTGTTGTGAATGCAAGTGAAGTCATGGGACCGATGTGCCTTATGTTACTGATGGGAACTGTTCACTGCCAAATCGTGTCCACCCAGATGAACAGAACATCAGGAAACAACGGCCTCAGCAGGAGGAGGAGGTGAGAGAGGTAATGGGTTTATTTGTTGGGATCGGAGCATAGGGTGAATTGCAGTTAGTGGGTAAATGTCTTCTGTCTGGATGTAAATAGCATTTACTCATAAACATGAGAATGAGTGTTTTTTGTCTTGTGTCTCCTCATAATGAACACGAAAGCAATAAGGATCCAAGGCTGGGGTAGGTCTGCTTCAGTGAGCAGTTGGCCCTTCTCTTCCTAAGGTGGCTCTTTAAGAGGTTTTATCCTTGGCTACAGGAGGGTGTTCTGTATAAAAAAGCATCCTCAGGATTCTGCACAAAGGTTGGTGTCCTGCTTTGGTGCTAACTGCCCCCGATTGCTGGTGTGTGTTGAGACAGGGCTAATGAGTGAAGGATATGGCTGCAGTGCAGTCACTGTTGGCAGTTGTCTTTGCTCCTGCAGGAGATGTTACAGGTCAGCTGTGAGGTATTTAACTGTTAGATGTCTCAGTGCAAATGCTGATGGAATGTTTAGGAGCACAGAAAGAGGGATGTGGTTAGATTTCTGCCTCCATTAGATTTCTTATGGAAAAAACAATCTAGATTTTGCCTGCTGGATGCTTTTCAGTTCCCTTCCTGACGGTACTGATGTCCTATGAATGCGTATGTAACTTCTGTCAGTGCAAGTTATTCTATTTAGAAACACGCCTCCTGTCAGCACGACTCCTGTAAAATAGCTCCTGTGGGAGATCTTTGAGCACAGACCCAGCACTGCGCTGTGATACAAATTCTTTTATTCTTTCTAATCAGGAAATTACGCAAATCTGTGGGTGTTGATGGGAACAGTTGGTCTCCTCCTGACAGAGCCAGCACAGAACAGCAGGCCGAATCCGCATCCACGCTCACCAGTTTGTTTGGCATTCTCTTCCGGAGGAGGTGAGCGATCTGCCCCGGCTTTGTGTGCTTGTGACCACACCGTGTGAGGTTTGTGTGATGGTTGGAAAATGAAGATGCAGTCATACTGTCACCGATGTCACCGAGCTCTGCCAGAATCAGGCCATGGAGAGCTGCCAGCAGGAGGCAGCCCTGCATTCCCATAGCAAATGCCCTTCGTGAGAGACCTTGATGTTAGGAAGGACGTGGAGCTCTTAGATCGGGTCCAGAGGAGGGCCACTGAGATGATCAGAGAGCTGCAGCAGCTCTCCTGTGAGGAAAGGTTGGGGGAACTGGGCTTGTTTAGCTTGGAGAAGAGAAGCTCCAGGGAAACCTCATTGTGGCCTTCCAGTACTTGAAGGGAGCCTATAAACAGGAGGGGGAATGGCTGTTTATGTGAGTGGATAGTGATAGGACAAGGGGAATGGTTTTAAACTGAGATAGAGGAGGTTTAGATTAGATGTTAGGAGAAAGTTTTTCACCCAGAGGGTGGTGAGGCACTGAACAGGTTGCCCAAGGAGGCTGTGGATGCCCCATCCCTGCAGGCATTCAAGGCCAGGCTGGATGTGGCTCTGGGCAGCCTGGGCTGCTGGTTGGCGACCTGCACACAGCAGGGGGTTGAACTGGATGAGCATTGAGGTCCTTTTCAACCCAGGCCATCCTGTGATTTTCCTAAAAGCTTTTCTCTGATGCAGAGATGTGCTTTTATTTCCTCATCCAGGGTCAAAACCACAAAGTTGGTGGCTGAGAAAGGAACTGAGACAGAACACGGTGTGAGCGCTGTGAATAATGGTGTCAGGCACAGACATGCCAGGGCTGAGCACAGGCTGCTGCACTTCAAAGAGAAACATAAACTTTCTGATGTGGAGAAGAGCCATCAGGTACCATCCCCAAAAGATCCATTTGAAGTGGCAAATCTCAGTGTATTCTGTGTGTACCCAAAGGTCTGTTGATATTAAGTGGAAGGATGGTTCTAATCCATGCTGCTCTCTTTCTTTACAACTCTGCTTGCATGTAGGAAACCTAAAAAAACCTTCCTACCTCTGGACTGAACTGTTGTCATGGTGCTAATCCTTCCCTGTAAGCACCTTTTCCTCTGTCTGTTACAATAATCAAGGAGTTAAACACACACAGTGGAAAACTTCTTTTTTACCAAAGTCCTGATTTAGGAATAACGATAATGATTAAAAAGAAGTAACTTTTTTAGTAACCACTAACTCTGTGATTTCTGTAAAATGTTTGCATGGCAACCCTTGGGAGTTGGAGGTAGGAAAAGAAAGAGTGGACTGATTTAAGGGGCTGTGATCCCCACTTAAAGCTCTAAAAGGGAGAGCTCTGTGCAGTCACTTTTGAGGCTCCTCTTGATGAGGTGCTAACTCTCATATGAAGATCATCAGTGTGTGCAGAACAGCGCAGTTCTGTGCCATCCCAGCTCCTCTGTGCATTTGGAGAGGAACAGCTGGCTGTACACAGATATCTCATGGTTACAGCTCTGCTCTGGGCAGTTTTTTGTGGACACATTTGTTTCTGGGCTTGAGGTTGCTGTAAGAGCTCTCTCTGCCTCGCCCTCTTCCCTGCTGCTGTCCCTGCCCCAACTCCAACACAAGCTTTGCTCTCATGATCCCTATGGCAAGGCTGGGCTGGGGGCACTGAGTTGAAATTCATGCCTCTGTGATGCTGTGCTGGGTTGTTTCTCTGTGTTCTGTGGCCACTACCTGCAGGCTTTGGCAGTGATGAGGTTACTGTGTCCAGTAGCAGCACTAACCTGGAACCTTTGGTTTGATGCAGCTTGTTTGTTGGTGCTATTTTGACTGCTGTATTTCTAGGATGATTGCACCAACAGGGATGGTGTATCTGATGAGCTTTCAAGCGAGGAAGATGCTGAAGCAGTGGCAGAAAGGATTTTGTTATGGCAGCATGTAGAAGGGGCTTCCAGTGACAACAGCTACGAAGAGAAGAAAAAGCAGCGTCCTGTTTCTCTGAACCAGGCTGTCTCACAGGTACTCATGTTGAACTGATGTTGTTTTCCACACAATTTTCTGCTATGGATCATGGTCTATTTTTCCTTTGTCTTTGGCAGGTCAAGCAAGCCCTCAGAGGTGTCAGAGATTCTGACAGCGTTGCGGAATCTGAACTGGAATCCACATTATACAATCAGGTATGGTTGTAAGTTCAAGAGACACTCTTTGCTGACCCCAGGTGTGTCTCCCCCATCAGAATGGTTTATTATTCAATGACAGTGCTTCATCATTTTCATGAATGTGTGACCTCTGTCCCTGCCCATTTGCAGCTTTGTGGACTTTGTTCACAATTGTGAGCATTCTGGTCTGTTTAACAGAAAATCCCTGCATTGGCAGCACAGCATGGTCCAAGCTGCTTCTAAGTGCACATCTTAAAGACGTGTTCTGGGAGGCAGTGCTGGATTGTGGCCTTCGTGCTCAACATTTCTCATTTTTTGAAATGAAGCCAGAAAACCATTGCATTAGAATGAATGAGTCAATGTTTATTTTGAGATGTTGAGAATGGAGGTGGAGAACCAACGCCATCCGTGGGACTTCCCACGTAGAAACACTGTGCACAGAAACTGCTGCTAACACTGCCTTTAAGGGCTCCCACCTCAGTCTGTATCGGGGGCTGTTGGTTCCCAGCTGCCCCACAGAAGCTCATTTCACTGATTGCTGTGGGGTTGGTCTGCAAACTGGGGCTGATCTGTGTAAGTTTTATTTGATTTCAAAGGACTCGAGGTCATGCATGAATGTGGGCTCCCGGAGCTGCAGTGTGACCAGGAGAGACTCCGAGAGCACACGGCACGACTCTGAGACAGAAGACATGCTTTGGGATGATCTGCTGCATGGGCCAGAGTGCCGCTCGTCCTGCACCAGTGACAGCGAGGAGGAGAGCATGAAAGGCAGCAGGAGGGACCCGAAGGAAGATGTTTTTCAGCAGGTTTGTTCATTCGTGTGCTGTGAAAGGTTTTGATTTATTTTCTTCAGTTCGTGCAGCTCCCTCCCTTCCCAACATCCTGCCCAAATAAAACAAGACGCAGCTGAATGCTGGGGGTGTAATGTAAGCAAGGAGCCTGCTGCTGGATGAGCCCATCCTGACAGCTGTGCTCATCACACAGAAGAGTGGAACGATGTAAACAGAATCCATGAACGACTCTCCCAATGTTATCGAGACCACTGCTAATCACAAAGACAAATTTGGAATCTCCTTTCAATCAAAATACTTTGTAGGAAAAGGTATTATTTAGTAGAGGGGCAGAAATGCATTGTATGCCCATTCTTTTCTCTTTTATAGAACCATTTGCTGTGGCTACAGAATACAAGTCCAGAATCTGCAAAAGTGAGCGCGCTGATCTGGGAAGGGAATGACTGTAAGAAGGTGGACATGTCTGTGCTGGAGATCAGTGGGATCATCATGAGCAGAGTAAGAGGGCTGTAAAGCGTTGCAATCTCTGAAAACAACCCAAACTGTAAGCAGCTACACCTGCAAATACTGTGTGCAATATAAAACCAGCTCCTCCCCCAGCTGCAACTGTAACTGTCCCAAATGTACACAAGAATTGCACAAACAAAAATTTAGCAGGTCTTGTTGAAGACTGGTGAGCCTGTTTTGTTTAGTTTGGGTGGAATTGTTTTAGGCTGTGTCCTTGGAGGGGAGGGGGAACGGAGTGCTTGATTGAACGCAGCCACAGCACCATACAGCCCAACTGACAGTGACTTTTTCTTCTTACTTACCAGGTTAATGCCTACCAGCAGGGAGTGGGGTATCAGATGTTGGGAAATGTCATCACCATCGGATTAGCGTTCCTGCCATTCCTCTACAGACTCTTTCACACTGATAACATGGAGCAGCTGTGCTCCATTTCTCTGAAGGAGCTTTTGCACATCTTCTGTGGAGCGCCTGCCAGCATCCCTGCCGTTGTTTTGTCTACAATCAACTTCCTGGAACGGCTTTGCTTGACCTGGATGTTTTTCTTTATGATGTGCGTTGCTGAGAGAACATACAAACAGGTATGTTTAAATGCATCAAAGCTAAAATGCTTCACGAGCCCTGGAGCAGGAATTGTACCAGCTTAAGTAGATGAGTCTGGTTAGACCTGTATTAATCAGCTATAAGCCGACATGCTTCCTATTTAGGAAGAAGCCCACTTAGCTGTTGTTCTGAGGAGGAGAATTAGATAGCAGGCTGCATTGCAGTCCAACTGGTTCTAAGTGCTGCATGCTAAAAAGCACTGTGTCATTTATTGGTATAGCAAGAGCTTTGTGGCTCCTTCTGCACAGCAGCAGCAGCTCTGCCTCTGCACAGGAGTGGCACCTGTGGGGCTGCACTACGAGGCCCTGCAGTTGGGCCTTCCCAGGTTGCCATAAGCTGAGCTCTTCTGCCCATTACCACTAAACAGTCCCAAGCAATGCTATTTCTTTTTTAGACTCATTTATGTTTGTGTATTTTTCGTTTGTAATCTGCAGAGGTTTTTGTTTGCCAAGCTTTTCAGTCACATCACATCGGCTCGGAAAGCCAGGAAATACGAAATTCCTCACTTCAGACTCAAGAAGGTAGAAAACATAAAGATCTGGTTATCTCTTCGTTCCTATCTCAAGGTGAGTTCTGACCCAGGATGGGAGCAGCCTGTTATTACAGTCAGCATAAGCAAAGGTTCTGGCTGTGCACCTCTGCAGCCCGGATCCAACCCTCACAGCCACTGCTGTCTTTGCTCCGCAGAGGCGAGGCCCGCAGCGCTCTGTGGATGTCGTCGTGTCGTCCATCTTCTTACTGGCTCTTTCAATTGCTTTCATTTGCTGTGCCCAGGTAAGACTCGAATGTTCCCAGGGTGTTTTATTTAAGAGAGCTGAGTGCAGCAGCCTCCTCAAGCTGTTATTGAAGAACAGCTCAGTAACTGTTTGTAACACCTTCTAGTCCTTCTCTACACCTTCTGTCACAGCAAACAGTCTTAGAGCTGTGCATTGCTTGCTTTAACAAGAGGTCCATTACTGTATTTAGGAAGGTTCTGGTGGTGCAGTGGTGAGAGCAGTAAGATCTGCTGCCAGTGTGTGAGAGCAGACACTGCCACTGGAGGAAGGAATGCCAATCCCATCCCTGCTCAAATAGACCTGAGGTGTGCATGTACTCCTAGGAAAGGCAGAATGAGTGCTTTAACACTGCCAGCACAACAAGCACATGTGAAGGGAAAGACATTTACCTACCAGCTAATTGGATAAAGGGAGGAAAGAGGAAAAACTTGCAGCTTAACACTTTCTTTTCTCATCAGAAAGAAAATGAACAAATTCTAGGGGTTATGAACAAGGCTTTGTACTTTAACCTGCTGCATGAATGAATGATGCTTCAAGGACAGAAGTGTTGCTATAGAACACGGACAGCTGTTCTAAGAGCTGTACAGGCCAGGTTTTGTATATTTGTTGGGACTGACTGATTTTAATTCTTCCCAAAACAGGTCCTGAAGGGTCACAAAACATTTCTGAACGCAGCTTACAACTGGGAGTTCTTAATCTGGGAGGCAGCACTTCTTCTCTTTTTACTGCGCCTCGCATCCCTGGGCTCCGAAACCAACAAGAAGTACAGTAATATTTCCATCTTGCTTACTGAGCAGGTACCTCCATTTCCTCCTTCTTCTTTTGGCTTTATACTTTTTTGTTTGGATTTAACTACTGCTTTTCAAACCAGGTTCATAAATACCAAGATCTAATTTTGAAATCCAGAAACACCATTTGTGCTGCACTGTAATGAAGTAATGCAGCTCAGCAAGGGAGGGACAAGGGGGGAAACATTTAGATTCAAATTCTGAATTATTTCTGGCTTTGGGTTAACACATCAGCCATGTTAAACAGGAGAAGAATGATGTGTGAGTGCTGAAGCCATCTGTAGATGTATCACTGCTTTAGGAGTGACAACAAATGGCAGCAGTTACTGTAACTGCCCTCAGACAGAAATTGGTTGGGAAATAATGCTGGAATGTTAACATGCAGTCTGCAATGTCTGTCACAGATAAACTTGTATCTAAAGATGGAGAAGAAACCCAACAAGAAAGAACAGCTGTCTCTAGTTAACAACGTTTTGAAACTGTCTACAAAGCTGCTAAAGGTAAAGTGCATCCTCCTACAAACAGAAGATTGCTCAACTTCATGCAGGCAGTGGATGCAGCGACTGTGGGTTTTGCTCTCCCCATTTCTACTGTCTTTTGATTAGATCAATCAGTTTTTACAAAGGCTTTTTTTTTCTGTGCTTTGATAGCAGTGGAATTAGATCGTCACACAAACTGGCGTAGCTAATTGTGCCACAAACAATTAGCAGGGGCTTACTGTGATTCACGTGAGTGAAAGGACAGGCTGGAATGATGAGCACAGAGTGCCTCATTAAATTGAATCCCCTTTTCCTTCAGCAGCTCCAATGTGGAAGCTTTTTCTTGGCAGTGGGAGAGCAGGCATTTGGAAAAGGAGTATAGTCTCAAAGCCAATATAAAAAAGCCACATGTAATGTGTTTAATAGTTCTATAATGATTCTGCAGTCTGTTGCATTAAGTTTTTGCCACACAGCCAGTATAAAAAGGGGACTTTTCAGATTCTGGATGGCTGTTAGAAAACATCTTTGAGCAGAGAGGCTTAGAATGCATAGAATTTCTGTATGTACACTTGTGATTCAGAAGCAGTGCACAGTTAGAGTGTGTCAGAGAGCCAGCATTAAGTTAAAGGGCAGACAATGACTCTGCTGTGGGATTTGTCTTTTGTTCTTTTGCCTTTTTCTTCCATGACAGGAATTGGACACACCATTCAGGCTGTATGGGCTGACCATGAACCCACTGATCTACAACATAACACGTGTTGTCATACTCTCTGCTGTCTCGGGTGTTATAAGTGATCTGCTGGGATTCAATATTAGAGTAAGTGTAACTCCCCTATGGAGAAGAAACATCCTGGAGGGAGGGGAGAAAAGGAGAGGGTGGGATGTTGCTTTTGTGCCACTCTTAATCCCCTCCAGAGGGAATGCACACCTTACAGTTCAGTAAGGTGCAGTTCAGTGCAGGATGGGTGATGGATGAGCCTTCCCTGTAGATGAGAAGCATTGCAGTCCTACTTTTAGATCAGTACTTATTCTCAGAATCTCTTTTCAGTTATGGAAAATCAAACCATGAACTGACTGACCATCAGCACAGCCCTCTCCAGCAGAAGGACAGAGCAGAGACCGAGGGCTTGGACACAGAGCAGGGCTGCTCTCACACTACAGAGCTCTGTCACTGCAGTTTCTTAACAGAGCCTCAAGGTATGCACTGAAAGCTGTCCCTCTGCTTTACTGTTCTGTTACACACAGGATAAATTGGTGCAATTTATGAAGTCATCCCATGGCATGCACATGTGAAACAGAATAAATTGAGCCAAAAACCAGTAGTAGTTTGCACTGAAGACAGCAGGAACTGCATGCACAGACTGTGGAGCATCAATCGCTACAAAAGCCATGCTAGAGCTTGTACTGGAGCGACACAGGTGGTTGCTGCAGGTGCCTTGTTTCTCTAAAAACCAGTCCTGTGCAATAACAACCAATTAATCCTCCTGGTGGTGTTGGCATCATTTTCAGAGAGCGCTGGAGCTCGGCTGGGCTTTGTGTATCCGCCTTCAGAGCTCTGCTCAGATGATACTGAGAAGGCATTCGTGTGACCGTGCTGAAGAGCACTTTTCTCAGCCTTTCACTGTACTGCTGGCTGCTGCTGTGGGATGCAGTGACAGCAGCCTGCATGGGACGAGCGCTGAGCCGACGCTGAGAGTTAAACTTAGGTTTGAACAACCTTACAACACAAATACAGGTAAAACAGCTAAAAATCACTTTGCTATGGTTGTTCCCTCTGACACCTCAGTGTGTAATCAGTGGGCAGGTAATGGTGAGCCATGTCCAGGGCATCCTGCTGTAAGTTCTTCCCACGACAGCTGAATTTGGTGTTCCAAGAAGCCGCTGCAGCTCTGCACTGCAACAGTGCCTTACACTGGGATACTTAAGGAAGAGTTCCTGTTGTGGAAACCACGGCAGTGGAAGATGACTGAGAAAGACTTCCTCACTTAAAAACAGATCTGTGTTTAGAAATGGCACAGGAAGGAAAGAAAAGCTGTAAAGACATCTGCTAAACGTGCACTTTCCTTAAGTTTTGCTGACTGCTGTATTGGCGATGAAGAAAAGCTAAATCCTGCCTTCATTCTGTCACGTAAGGAGCGAGGTGGCATAAGGAATTTTGGTAGTAAACTGTTTATAGCTATTTTCTGTACAAGGAAAGGTTGAAAGATGGAAAAGAAAATGACAACTTTATATATCGAAATGTACAAATAAACCTACAGTACAACTATTCCTTCACCAACAGCTGTTTCCACGTGGCTTCATGACTTTATCACCTTTGTTGAACATTTGTTATCTCTGAGCAGGAAGCCAAGGAAACTTGCAATAATAAACTGCATTTGTTTTCCAGAAGAGTGTTATGTTTGTGGGTGAAGCATTACACCACTGGACATCAACAAGGAATACTGCATACAGTGCAGAACCAGCAGGCCATGAACTAGAGTTTCTTTTTAATATCTATATAAAAAATAATGAGCGATTTACAGGTCTCTCTCTAGTCAGAACCTCAGAAGTATGTATAAAGGTGCTGTACAATATATAAACATTTACACCCAGTACATCCATACATTGCTTAGCATCCCAAGGCCACGTTGCTAAGTCATCCGATACAGTAAGTAGAGATACAAGTTCTATGGGAGGAGAAAGCACACACAGGTCAGACACCAAATCAGGTCACGTTGACAGATAGAAAAAAGATGGGGGTAGTTGTCAGGGAGTTCATTTCAGCGGTGCTAATTCATCTCTGCACTACACTTCTGGATTCGTTACTGCACTCGGTGGTTAGGGCAAGTCCATACAGCTCAACACAAACCAGATTCTCTTGTTTAGAGTACACAGTTAATATCTACATAGGCTAACTGCAAAGTATGAAATAGTTTCACAGTCGTACTCCCGAGCGCGGAGCGTTGGCGATGTGATGCTGCACAGCAAATGCATGGGTCGCCCAACGTGAAGCAGCAGAGCGCAGTTCAGGTCTGCTTTAAAGCCTGCTTCAAAGTGTTGCTTCCGAAAGCTGTTTGGGCATCTGTACTTGGAAAGAACTCTCTCATCAGGCCTGATTCACCGTGCTTCATTAGGTGCACAAAACCATTACGTGTATCAAAGCCAAAACAAATCTTCAATTCCAAATAGCAAATCACTTGTCTGTATTTTAATGTAAGAAATGCTTGACCTTCTGCACCTCTTTTTCCTCCTGCACACCGGGCTGATGAGCTTTTACCACCTTCTCTTCTGCACTAATTAAAGACCTGCCACCTTAATTACCACAACAGTCACAGATAGAAACCACGTGGGTTTATGCATTCTGCTGACTTACAGCTATAGACCTGAGGTGGCAGTGGGTTCTGCTTGTAACATTCCCCAGCAGGACTTCAAAATCTGCACTACAGCCCAAAGAACAGAAACTGGGACTCGTGCACCCCATGTATCCTAATATTCAGCACTCTTAGATCACACATTTAAAATAAAATACGGGACACTTCTCATATACACAGGCAGGAACTTCATGTAAGAAGTTAATGTGGTTGATTCTGTCCTATGGATCAATTCTGAGCTCTACAGAGGGAGAGCAAATCCAATTATCAAGCAGCAATAAATAATAAAAGATGAGACTTTTCAGTGTACAGCACCAGAACGAGGCTGAAAACAAACGCAGACTCCATGTTTGTGTTGACAATCCAAGGAGGACATGGTGCCACAGGTGAAGCAAAGGAACGATGCTATTCAACAGCAACCAGAACTTTCTCTTCCTGCACTGATGTTTGCCAGCAGTTACTGTAAGCATCCTCACGAATTGAGAGAAGAAAGCAATTTTGTTGTGTTCATAAAAAGCAAAATTACAAAACATCGATTATGTCAAATATAATTTTTATCTACATGGTTTTGTATCAGGTATAAAAAATTTACGAAAAAGCTCAATTGAACAGCATCAGTGGCTCAGTGCTGCTCTGGAATCGATAGAACCGACTCACCCATCTCCTTCCTCACTGAACCAGGAGGAAGATGAGCATCTCCTTATGTAAACATGCAACATGCTCTGGAGAAAACACCCACTTCCAACGAAACCTGGACTTTTCCGTGACTGGAATACACAAAAGAATCAGACTGACTGGATACAGTAGATAACTTGGCACAAGAACAAGAAGTGAGTCGTGATCACATTGGCAATATAGGCATTAAATAATTTTGTTCAGAAACTCACGATACGAGCTGAGGAAGCCACAGCAGTGCAACGTTGAGAGCAGCAGAACCCCGCCTTCGAAAGGAGGGGCAGCAGCGCGGGGCAGCTCACGGCAGCGACCCGAACGGCCCTTCATGCAGCTTGGATCATTTCAGAACGAATCAAATGCTTTCCGGCCTCGAACCAGTTTTGGAAAAGTACGACAACTTTGTGAGAAGAAACAACGCTTCTGAATGATCGTTATTGGAAACTTGAGTCATTCATTCTAGTACAAAAAAGCATCGGTCAGACCCGTTTCTCAGCCTCACACACAGTTTTGGTGACTTTGCACGTGCTTGGAACCCTCCAAGGTCCCGGAGTTATTGGTGTTTTCCTGACTGGAGAACTGCTTTCAGATTTGGGAATTCCATCATCTTTGGTTTCATCAGGCAGCTCCACGTGTCCGTCTCCACGTTGGCTGTTCAGAAGTTGGGTCTCCTGTGCTTCCAGCCTTCTCAGTTTCTCCACGGAGAGCAGCGGAATATCAGAAAGACTTGAAGTTTTGAATCTGCTGGAGCCTGGTTCTCCCGAGTTTGACTTCCTTGTTTTTCCATCTTCAGCTCTGTTTCTCCTGGAGTCGCTGAAAGGAAATCTGCCCTCGTCCAGCGTCGCGTATTTTCTCTCTGAAAACCACAATTCCTTCTTTCCAGAAACCTTCTGCTTGGTGTCTTTCCTCAATACTCCTGCTTTACCATTTCCTCCTCTCAGCTGCTCAGCAGTCATCTTATCATCAGCACTTCTGTGGTGATGCTCCTGCAGCCTGCCTCCCACTTCCGCGCATCCCTTACTGAGGTGCTTCTGAGGGCTGGCAGACATGCCTTGATCTCCACTGGAATACTGCTTTCTGTTCATTCCTGTTCCTGTGGGTTTACGTGGGAGATTGCTGTGGGTTTTATCAGCATCACTCTTTCTAGAGCTGTGCAATCCTTTGAGATGGTGTCCTTCGGCTGCCCCGAACTTTTCTGGGCTCGCAGATCTGTCTCTTCTGGTCCCTAATTCCAAAGTACCTTTTGTGACTTCAAACCCAGTACTGGAGGGAAGATCCCATCTCTTCTTTGTTCTCTGGGGAGAAGACGGAGGCTTCATCTCAAACTGGCTTTCAGTTAAAGTGCTTATCTTTTCAGGCACAGTGTTCTTTGCTTGTTCCAGTTTCTCAGGCAGCTGAACTTTCCTTAAAGCTTCTCCTGGTACTGGTAAATTACACACTTCAGATGGGGAAGCAGAATGTGAAGATGAGGATAACGGTGACTGTTCTTCATATATTACATTTGACAAAGATGGACTGTAACTATCCCAATCACCTGGAAGTGAACAGGGAGAGATTTCACTGAGTCGTTAGAGAAGAAACAAGATCACTAAACATTCTATAAGCATTCACACTATTGGGGTACCAGGCTGTTATGTGAAATCTTCCACTTTACAAAGATCACGTAGTGCCTTAATTTAAAGTCTTATTTAGTCAGCGCTTCATATTTCACTGTTCTACAGCCTACAGCAATCATAAGGAAATGATTTTGGAAGAAGCTTCTGCTCAGAATGCTGGCGTGATCTCTGCAGGACTGACGTGGTCTCAGATCAGCACATTTTAGAGCCAGTGCAGCCAAATTGCAAAATTAGTTCCTGACCTACATTGTTAAAGGAAAATCAAATGAACTGAAACTTTTTTCTAAAAGAAAACTGAAAACAACGAGAAGTGAAGGTTATTCATAGCTTTGCACTTTAACAATAGAAAGAGATGAAACACAAGACATGCAGATTTACCAAGTCTTTAAGGAAAACCCAAGAAAAGCACTGAAAGCCCTTAATGCTGCTCAGGTTTCACGTAGGGACACAAACTGGAAGGAGCCAAACCTGAAGGAGGAAGAGAAAAAGCCCAGAACTACATACCAAAATCACAGAGTACAGCAAGCAAGATCTCAATCAGAAATGTATGATTAACAGCAGGACGAGAGGCAGCAAAACCTTACAGCTGCTGATCTTATCTACGTAGCTTGACCTTATCTCAGGCCCTGCTGTTGGCAGAGAGCTGGACCAGATGGCCTCTGGAGATCCCTTCTGCCATTTCTATGATTCTGGGTCAGATTTAGGAAATTTCTATGGACAAGAGGGCCAGGAGTGGTTCCAGATAGCTGCTGTGCTGTCCTCTTGGTGCACAATAATCACTATTTATCACTGCTGAAATGATACCAAGCACAAATGGCTGGTCGTAAGGAGAGAGCTGGAGGTGACCTCACAATGGCTCCTCTCTTCTTTGAAACCAACTTTAAATGCTGATTTTAAAGAGAACCAACAGAAGCTCATCTGAACACAGAGGACTCTGCTCAACTTTCACCATTAACAACAAAGTATTTCAGTGTGAAACACAAACTGAGCCAGACAGAAATCGAGCAAGATGGCACAGAGCAGATCTCGTAGTTCACAGATGGGCTGTTTCTGTGCCATGCACAAATGCACTCTGATTTTACCGTGACGTTCAATTTGGAACATTAAGATGTTAAGAATCATCTTTGAGCTCTCTGGTGGAAAGACATGAAGAAACTTCTGAGCAGATTTTATGCCTAGAGCAGACGCCAGTTGCTGCCTGTAAGTGACTGCACACAGCAAACTATTTGGTAGCTCAAGCTGTGGGTTTTAAAACTTTGAAAGGCTGAAGTCATGGTTAGTTACCATTACTGAAAAGCTCTGCATCAGAACAAGTGAGCTTACAATTTAGGAAATTTACCAGCAGAGTTCTTGGTGTCAGCATCAAAAGCTGAAGAATTAAAACGAGTACTCAAAGCAGAACACAGAGCGTGCTTTGCTTTAACATACTGGTAGGGCCTAATCTTTGATCCATAATTCTAGTTTATATCCTAAATCAGACTCGAAATCATCAGTTCAGAATGAACTGGTAGTGATTTCAGTGACCAAGCACGAGGTATCCTTATTAAGCAGACTGCACCCCACTGCCACAAGATGACACTGCACTGCACTGACGTACTGTGGTCTGGTATCAAGCCGGTCCCTGGTCTCAGCAGCAGCAGAACTTTGTTCCCTCCAGCCTGAATCAGCTCAATGGCTCGTGTGTGAGTGATTCCCTGGGTGGGTTCTCCATTAATTTCAACTATTTGGTCACCGACCTGATAAGACAATA